AAAAAAAAAAAAAAAAAAAAAAAAAAAAGGGTGGTGGGCTTGGTTTGGGGTTGTGGGTTTTTTGGTTGGGTGGTTTTGTTGGTTTGTTTTTTGGGTTTTTTTGGAGGGTTATTGGCAGCTCCAGGCGCTGGAAAATTGAGTCTTGACAAAAAAAAAAAAATCTAGCCCTGGAAAGACTGGCTTATAAAAAAGGGCATGGTGAGATGAGTTAAAACTGGTTAAAAATAGTAGCAGGAGCCTCTGCCTCCAAAAATAACACTTTCAAGAGCCTTTGCTTCTTGTTTGTTTTTTTTTTTTTTTAAGGCCCAATAATCAAAACTCAAATCCCCGCTGTCCTCCCAGGGAAAATTGTTTCTTGGCCTAAGGGCCCAACCCGAGAGGTGATGAGCGTCGACTATCACGAAGCGGTTTGAGTCCCCGCTGCAAAATTCCTCTTTTCTTCTTGCCCTTGACAGGAATGGTTAAAAAAAAAATAAATCAGGATTTTCCCTGGAAGCACTTTAAGGAGCGCTTGGTGCGGGCTCGTCCCTGGGTGACTCCTGGCGAGGGTGACCATGGGAGCGAGCAGGACGGAAACGTTCTGCTACCTGGAATAGCCTCAAACCCCAAGATCTTTCCTAAAAACCCACAAAGATCCTTCTCAGTGGGAAAACCAAGAGTTTTGCCCCAGCAGTTGGGGATTTCAAAGGCTCTTCTCCGCCGGGAAGGTTGGTTTGAGGCACCTGGATGGAGCCTTTGGGGACTTTCGCCCCCCTGGCGCTGCCCCGCGTCCCACCGTGAGGGCTCGGTGTTTCCCCAAATCTCTCGCCAGGATATTTTTCTTCCTGCCTTTGCTCATTTTTCATGATCTGATGATTCAGTCAGAGTCCAGCAGCACCTTCTCCCAGCCCGTGTATTCCTCCCCGCAGCCGGGTTAAGAAAAGCCCTGTGCAAAACCCAGCACCGAGCATCCCAGATCACCCCCTCTGGCACGGAGGGACCATGGGGCTTATAGGGGAAAACCAGAGCTTTTTGGCAGAAACCCTGCCCCGTGGCAAAGCCTGGGCCGTGTCACTCGTGGCTTTTGAAATGGCTGGTGGTAAAAATGGGGCAGAAAGCGGCTGCGTGGGGGATGCTGGTCGCTGTGCTCCTCTTGGGACGCGCAGGCCCTGGGCCTCGTTGAGAAGCCACTTGAAATATTTGTCAAGAAATAGGTTTCCTTTCCCTTTTTTTTTTTTTTTTTTTTTCCCCCCCCTTAGTTTTAATTCTTTCCAGCCATCTTCCAGAGCCCTCTGCACAAGGAATCGCTGTCAAAGCTGCCAGGCTCCGTTCCACCCCCTGTGTGGATAAACACTCCCAGCGTGTGTTATTTGGCAGTCGGTTTCTAATGCGAAGTGATTAAAACATGTTGAAAGTTGAATTTTTTGATGAGGTGGAGGCGTGGAGGCTGCAAATGTCCACGGCACCTCTTTTCCCTCCTGTGCCCGAAGGCTGCAGCCTGGTGCCTTCGAGCTGCAAAAACGTTGGAGCTTTCCAACACCGAAGAGGTGCATTAAGGATGGAAGGGGGAAAAAAAAAAAAATAAAAGGAGTAAAATAGGTTGGAAATAGATGTGAATAGTGAAATTTGATAGAGAAGGGAGGTGGAGGAAAGGAGAAGACAATGAATAGGAGTGCTTTTTTGGGTTAAAAAAAAAAAAAATTAAAAATCACTTTGGAAAAATGGTGCCTAACCCCTTTTCATGTGACTCCGTGAGGCAGGTTTTAAGAAATCAAACAATTTCTGCCCTGCTCCTTGCCGGCACCGTGGTTAAAAACACAAACTCGATTTTTAATTTTTAATTTTTTTTAATTTTTTTTTTTCCCAGCAGCCCGAAGCCCAAACCAGCCGCAGCTCCAGGGATGCCTTAGACACCAGGTATTTGCTAAGTGAATCCTAACTAGTTACCAGCCCGGGTAAATGACAATTTACATGCTGTTTGTGTGCTCGTAAGGAAGCATTAGAGAAGTTTGCTTTCTCAGCACCGTGATATGATAATGATGTTGCATATTAGTCATTAGCAATAAGTAGCTGTCGGCGTGAGCCCTTGCCTCGGCGCACGCCGGTGCACCCACCAGCCCCTGTTTTCTGCGCAGGATTTGGTTTTCTCAGCCTCCATTTCTTTTTTTTTTTAATATAAAATTACCAATAAATAATTAAAAAAAAAAAATTTTAAATCGCTCAATTCCAGTTTTGGAATTGTGTGAACCTGGAAATTGGGGCTTGGAGTCAAAAACGGATGAAGGGAGCGGAGCGAGGCTCGGAGACGGCGAGCTGCCTGCATGCTGGAGGCCAGAAGACAAATAAATAAACCCAAATTGTTGGCATGTGGTTTTTTGTTTTTTTTTTTTAAAT